ACAATACAATTTTATTTATATAGCACATTTAAAAACCCGAAGGCACACCAAAGTGCTTCACAGTAATATGGAGAGTCAACATAAGTCAATAACAGGGTACAAATCGGGCACAAGCACAAACAGGATAGAGGCACTAACAGACCAGGAGAGTTAGATAAATACAAAATATGCTGAGAAGACAAAAACAGCAGTAAAGGTTAAATAAAGTGATGGGGTCCTAAATGCCCCTCCTCTGTGACTGTGTTGTAATTGGCAGTGATTGAAAAAGAGAGGAACAAGTCGATAGGGAAGGCGGCGCTGGGAGGCCCGTTCTCACTCATCGATCACAACAACAAGCCCACCAAGAGCGAGGACTTCCTCGGCCAGTGGATCCTCCTCTACTTCGGGTTCACTCACTGCCCCGACATCTGCCCCGATGAACTGGAGAAGATGATCGAAGTGGTGGATGAAATAGGTATTTAAACCGATTTTTTATTTGCAGCGAGAAGTCAAAGTCCTGATTTTACTCAACATCTGGCTGTTTTTGTTGTTGTTTTGCAGACAAAATAAAAACTTTGCCAAACTTGACGCCGATCCTCATCACCATCGACCCCGACAGGGACACGCCAGAGGCCTTAGCTACGTATGTGAAAGGTAAGAAAGCAACGTGATCAAACTGTGCCTCAATACACGCACATGACAACATTTTCCACTATGACGTCACAACTCCATCTTGGTTTTCTGTCATTTTTGTAATTCATCTTCTCAGAAGAAAGGCAGAGGTATCAACTGAACCCCTGCTTTTATAGAACTATTAGACTTCTGCTGTAGTGATGTGGTTGAATATGACAAATAGAATATTTTTAATTTTCATTACAAAGACCACCTTAGTGCTTCTGTGTGTGTATTTATATGTACAAACACTCTTTTGTAACTAAATACCAAGTCTGATAAACTGATGCTAGACTAGGGCTGCTCAATTAATCGAATTTTAATCTCGATTACGATCTGGGCTTTCAAC